TGTTATTTTTCTGTATGTTTTGTTTATCGTTTTATTTTTTGCATGTGGTGTTAACCAATAATTAATTGTTGCACTTGTAAATGTTTCTACAGCTTTTTAATCAGTAATGTATATAGTGTAAACAATTGTTGGTTAACCAAAATAAATAAATAAATAAATAAATAAATAAATAAATAAATAAATATAAAGTCTTTAGATATCTTTTCTCAAACACTCCCATTTTTAAATAAAAGATAACTCCTAGCAGTCAATATCATCGATAAAAATGTAAAAAGTGAAGCCTCAATAGATTCTACTGTCCTGTATTCATTTGAAAAGCTACTTTTCGCGTACATTTTTGTCGTAATAGACATTATTTAAGATTTCTACGTTAGATAATACAATATGTTCCATAACATAGGAAATAAGTGAATGATGCGTATTCGAATGTTTTTATTTTATGTGTCATTTATTTCATCTTTGAAGTTGCTTTATATAGTATGTGATACCTGTCCTCCACTGCTAACCAAAATACAAATAACAGAAGTTCTCTCGCTGATAATGAGTTAAACACCACGCTTGGTGAAGTATTTCTTTAACAAGTGGTTCTTGGCAAGGTCCAGTAGATTCGCCGTAATGAGACGATTTCGCTGCCTCATATGACTGCATTGAACCGATTGAGGGTGCATGTTGCGTGGGTTCAGAAGTTTTATTATGAATTGATTACAGCTTCAGGAAATATTTTTGGTGGTTATTCAACCAAGTTTTTACCTCTAAATAAAAAAATAAAATTTTGAGTCAGACTGAAGAATTTTACCACGACAGGCCGATTATGCTCCTTGCTACTGTCTCCAAGTCTTTGAAATCTCTTAATCGCGGACACAGGGACATTCAGACCCAGTTGGATGGTCTCAATAATGAGATCGCTGCAGTCCTCCCTACCTATCTACCTCCAGAATACCCTGGAATATAACAAAATTTCGGTGGTTATGCATCTCCATATCATCATTTCCTCTGGAACAATCGGTGACCAGGCTCCGCAGCAGTTTCAACATGTGCAGAATGAGTTTACGGAAGGTGAAACTCGTCGGCTATCCCGGCTAAACAATTTTTAGCCGATCCTGCCGACTGAATCTGCTCCTCAAGATCCACCATCCTCTTCAACACAGTCTTCTGCAGGTTCATATGAACAGTGACAACATAATTGGATTTCGGCATTGTTCAACCGTTAC